AAGAACAACTCACAGTAAGCAGAATTTGAAAACTACAAAACTTTTTACACTATTTAACACTTTAAACAGGACAGTACGAATCATAGAATCATAGAGTTGGAGGAGACCTCAAGGACCATCCAGTCCAACCTACTACCATGCATGAAGACACAATCAAGGCATCCCCTAATAGTAGAGAACGATGGGAATTGTAGTCCAATTCTAATTCCTGTTGCAAATAAACCAGTCAAGTTACCCAGCAGTCTAGCTATGGAGCCAGCTTCTGTACATCCCTCCCTTTCATATCTATAAATAAATAAATAAATAAATAAATAAATAAATAAATAAATAAATAAGAGGTTTGCAGCACACAGGTGAATTATGGCATATGCTTACAGATCTACACATAACAAATGTTATGTGTAGATGTTGCCTCTGACTCAAGCTTTACCGAAACCTTCAAGATCCTGCCCAGAATGGCTAGAGGATCATAATACCTCTATGTATTTGTGGTTTCTTTGGGGTGGCTTTTACCAAGATGTTGCTGCTTCTCTGGCTAAAGAAAACAGTTAAAATAATTTAAAGTGATCAATGCAAATTTGGACAAAATCGACGATACCCAACGATATGAAGCTTTCATAAATAGCCATGTTTTTGTTTGGTGCAGGAATGACAGTCACCAATTGGGCCTCCAAGGGGAAGCTTCTCCCTAAGCGGGTGCCACAACAAAGAAGACCCTTTCCATGTCCTTTCCATGTTTTACAGTATATTGCCTTGACTAATGGGATCCAGAGGAAGGCCTCTCTTGAAGACCCCAAACCATGAGCAGGTGTATATGAGGAGCGGCGATCCTTCAATAAAATTTAGCAAGTCATTTAGGACTTTAAGCCTCATTGCTAACACCTTATGTTATGTATTTATTTATCTATTTTATATGCTGCCTTTCTCCTAGAGTGGAACCCAAGGCAGTTCAATAAAGAAAATCAATTGCCAATGTGACATTGTGGTTTTTGAGCATTTGACTCTGGAAATCAGGGTTTGAATCCCCGCTCGGCCACTGGATGACCTTGGTCATATCACACTCTCTCAGCCTCAAAGGAAGGCAATGGCAAACCCTCCCTGAGGAAATTCTGCTAAGAAAACCCCTGTCATAGGGTCACCATAAGCTGGAAACTACTTCAAGGCACATAACAACAATCGCCTGAAAAGCAATTAAAAATAGTCACATTAAAACAATATAGAATTATTTTAAAACATATAAATTAAAAATAAATAAATAAAACAGACACAGCTTTAAAAAAAAAAAGCCTTCCTGGCACTTTTACATATTAAAATTCTACGTTAAACAAAAAGGTTTAACTCAGACCAGAAACATATAAGTAGACAGTGCAATTCTTTTAAAACTGATTTTATATGGTTTCTGGTCAGCAGTCTAGCAGAAGTCATCAAGGGTAGCCCCATGTAAATTTCATTGTGGTAGTCTAACTGAGAACTCACCAATGCATCAACTGCTGTACTCTGCAAACTTTTCTCCTATGAGACAAAAAGAACAAACTAAAATATAAAGTGGGTTTTCAACCTCATTCTCATGGGGGAAAAAAAAAAAAAAAACAGTCACACTGGCCAGGATGGTAGCTATGCTGCATGCAGGCTTTATAGAAGATGAAAACTATCACACTGTAAAGCTGGGTGCCTTGACCAGGTTGAAGGTTACTGTGATCAAAAACTATTAGAGCAGTCCTGCACATGTTTGTTGTGTGCCTTCAAGTAGTTTCCAAATTATAGTGACCCTAAGACAATCCTATCACATGATTTTCCTTGTAGGATTTGTTCAGATTTTGGATTTGCCAATGCTTTCCTCTGAGTGCTTTCATGGCCCAGTAGGGATTTGAGTCCAACACTCAAACTATTGCACTATTTTGGCTCATAGCACATTACTCTGAAATTCTAGAGAAGTGTATGAGATGTAGGTGTATATCACACGAGGAAAGAAAGCGGAAGTTCAGCTGAATAGTAGCTCCTTTCTACATGCCTTACTGCATGATGTTGTAGTCCTCCAGTTCCTTTCCCATGGGAGATGGTCCTAAAAGAGAATCTTTTTTTCTAGCTGGAAAAATCAATTTGACCAAAGACTCACTTTTATGACCATGGAAAGAGAACTGAAGAGCTAAGATGTCATGGGTATGTAGAAAGGTGCTAGTATCCAGCGTAATGTCTGCTTCCTTTTCTAGTGCAATAAGCTCCTTGCTTCTGCACATGTTTATTTAGAAGTAACTTTCACTCTTCGCGAAGGTTCATGTCCAAGTAAGGGTGTTTAGAAATGTAGCTTAAGTTGCTCTTCTGAATAAATTTATTTTACATGAAGTCAACAGGCAGAAACATTGCACTCAGAAGCAAACATCTCCCTACACATATACAGCCAAAGAACAGTCCTTTTGATCATTCGTAGACACACCGTACAGGATGCATTTTACAATCTCGACACAGAAGGGAGACAAAGACCTCGGTCTTCAGCATGATGAATTGAAATGCATATCCCAGGGAATGTTGGTATTAGCATTTGGAATTCAATGTGCTGCACCCAAAATCTGTGGGATTTGCTTGAACTGTTTCCTTTCAAAGAGAATTTCAGCAAACTTCTCATGTGCTTGCATTAGCTACGCAATGGGCAAGGTGTGTGTTCCTTTTGTGTTTTAATTGTCTTTATATATTAATCTTTGGGAATCTCCAGAGATGATGACTGGTCACTTCCATGTCCATCAGTGGAGCATTTAATCTTCTCTGGATAATGTCCTGAACTCTATAGCAATTCCTGAAGGTAGTAAACTCTATCTATCAAAATAGGTTCAGCACCTTGGATAGCTCCTTTAAAATCCTTTGAACTACTGTATAGTCCAGTTCTTTTTTTTTAATTTTTAAATAAATTTTATTGATTTTTTTTTAAAAAACAATTAACAAAGAAAAAAACACAAGACACTTTACAAAGAAACATATAAAACAAACTTCACAAGACTACATGTACAACTACATTACTAACATAACATAAATTGGACTTCTTTCTATTATCTACTGATATTGCTTAATCACATTCTTTTTTTAAAAAATTCCTCTTGATTTGTGTATTACTATCAGCTATAACCATTTTACATCCATTTTACATAAACCTGTGTTAACTAATATATTCACTTTCTCTGTGTTCCATAACTTATATATTCTTTTTCTCTTATATAC